CAACATGCATATCTCTAAATATTTTCAGAGTATGATAATCATTTATCATCATGTGCATAGATATAACATAAAGACACTTTTTTTTTGTTGCTAATATATCTCATAGAAATACTATCGAGTATTTTGTTCCATCATGATACTTGGGATCTCCCATAGCTGTTATGGATCTCATATTCTAAGAGTATCATTAGTTGATCAATACATCTATACCAAATAATTTATTGTGTTGACAAGATACGCACTACGAAGTCTACTTCTTACTACTCTAGAAGGCGCCACCCTATATTGCAAGAGTTCATAAGTCTAACAACTATTTTTGCTCAACGAGGTCTCTTCCTTTGACAATATTTTTTTTATCTTTCTTAATCACAATTTATTCCATTGGCAACAAATGGAATAGTTGACATCAACCTTCAGGCAACATAATATCCTAAGGTTAATAAAGTATTGACTAAATCCATGGCACAAAAAATGTTAGGACATGCATACGTAGGGATGGAAAAAAAACTCGTTCAACCTGAAACCCGTGGGGCCCCGCCCCAAACGGGGCGAGGATTACCCGCCTAATCGTGTAAAAGGGGCGGAGATGGGGCGAAGGTTATTGCCTCGAAGCTGGTACGAGACGGGTACGGAAATCATAGTTCCAGCCCTGCTACCCGTCCCGTTTAAAGTTAATTTTAAATTTTTTATCAAACAAAAATAATATATTTATCATATTTTTAAAGAGAACATAAGTTGTTTCTAACAAATTGGTAAAAAAATAATAATATTTACTAAGTAAAGACATAAAAAAATAAATAAGAAATAAAAAAAATGGGGATGCAACCTGCCCCCCGTCACGTTTTAAACAGGCATGTAGATGGGACAAGATAACAAAAATACCTGATGGGATGGGGGTGAGCATGGATGACCCGTCTCATACCCGTCACGTTACCATCCCTATGCATACGTAATAGTATACTTCAATCTTCTAACCGTATTAGAATATGGTACTTTGGATATTTCTTTATTTGCTTATGGAGTCATTGGACATATACGAGACTCAGATTGTCATCATTGACATAAGAGTATCAACGGAGCAACAATTCTCTAATTAGAAATATTCTAGAGTCTTTATAATATACAATTTTTGTGATAAAGCAAGAAATATTTTAACACAAATTATAGTCATTATTGGGTCCCACTCGTCTAACAAAAGTCAACAATAACGATTAGTTTTTCAATTTTAATCCGATTTTAATCTCTACCGAACACGCCCAATTTGTCAATGCACTCAATATACTCCTAATCATGCTTAGTTAATACAATGGAGTTAAAAGAAAAATTAGAATTACAACCTACAACTTGATCTTTCACATAAATGAAGGGATCTTCATCTACATGAAAAAATTTGTACGAGATGTAAACCCTATCAAAAGTCAAGTACCACTGTCAAGGTTATCATTTTAGGCCACAACTATAACTATAAAGTTACCATAACTCTAAAGGCATTTAACAATTAAAATTTACAAGTTGATTCATATAGATCTTTTCGATTAATTCTCAAATCGAAAATAAAATTACAACCTCTAGGTTTATTTAGTGTAACTATAAATTTGAATGCATTATTATTGCTAACACAGGTGCAAAAAAGTGAATATAATTGTAATGAAAAAGATTTATCGCACTCAACACCCTCATATTGGCTAGACGTATTTTTCCGAAAAAATGATAGTTATCTATCAAAAACTCATTAGCATTCCATAAAGATTTCAAGAACTCAAATATTCTCAAATAACTTGATGTCCAATTAGAACATCCACCACATCCTAGATTTGTTAATTTCCTTGTACAATCTATACTTTCAACTATTTTTCCTCTTTGTAATCTTATGAAGAAAGATTTTTGGTAATTAAGTTATTTAAAAATAGATTGCTCCCACTTGAATCAGAACTAAAGGTAGCTTGTGTAATTTAAATGATTTAGCACTCACATTTATTAATAAATTTCAACAAATATTCTCTAAACACAATTAGAACATCCACCATATCCTAGATTTGATTGGGCTTCTTATACTTCATATATACTTCCATTACTTCCATCTATTTTTCCTCTTTGCACTCCTATAAAGAAAGATTTTTGGTGAACTAAGTTATTTTAAAATAGATTGCTCCCATTTGAATAAGAACTAAAGGCAGCTCATGTGTACTTTAAATGATTTGGCACTCATACGTATTAATAAATTTCTACAAATATTCTCTAAAAAATTTTCTCCTTTGCTAGGAAGAATGTGAGATATCACATCTAGTGACTTCTAACCAAAATTTTACTTATGAACAAATTTCATTTAGACATCATTTGTATATCATAGAGATATATTTCGTTCTTTATAGGACTCGGTTTCCAAACTCAATTAGAAGAATCAAAAACTTACATAGTTGATCACGAGTATAAGATAATCCATACTTAGTTATACATATCTAATTACAATACTGAATACTGAGAGATATTTTGAGTGACAAATTGAAATTAACTGACATTCTCCCAAAGAAATAGTTAAGTCAAACTACATTATGACATACATCAAAAATGCTTTATTCATTCTCTTAAAAAAAACACCATATAGTTTTAGTGAACTAGGAATAATAAATGGAGTAACAATTTCGCTTTCATTACATAGTTCATTGAACTTTCGTGATAGAGATTCACTCTCTCAAACTGTTTTCAACATCTTTAATTCAATAATATAAGTTTATACCCCATGTAAGTAAGGTTTTAAACATTTCATTACCTTCAACTTATGAAAATCAAAAATATAATTGAAATGCATGAATTCATCTATAAATGTGATGAAAATATGAGGTTTCATCTCTCTCTCTCAAAGTCATAGTCAACCAAAAATCTAGATACACAAACTATAATAGAAGTTTAGCTCTTGTAGATTTTTGAATGATTCTCTAAAAAAGTATTGTTCACAACCCAACTCCTCAAACCGTTACACGGATATTCTGGACTGTAATAAATATCGACGATTTAAGTATGAGTAGAACTACCATGAAAAAAAGTCCAAGTTAAAGATCAATAAGAAGAAGAACAATGGAGATTATTTTTTGTTTAAGTTTTTATGCAAATTTGATATCAATTATAGGGATAATTCAATCACGAGGCAACCTTAGTTTGCATAGTGTCATATTAACCTCTACATATATCATCATTGCTGAAATATATCTATTTTGCATCAATCCAAAGACTCGAAGATGTAAATGTTTCTTAGTCTCTAGTTATGTGGTTTGTTTTAGCCTACTATCCATACAAAATGACATTCGATATACAAATTAGTATTTGATACATAAACAACACTAAGAGAAATATTTTCAAATGCAATTACTTTGTACTCTTTAATAAGTCTCCATTCAAAACACAGACACACACACAAGGAACCTCTATAAATTCATCTTGAGTACTTAGAGCATGTTCGATTTAAATTTCTTGAGAATAAATTTTGTGAAATGTTTAAATGCATAATTAAAAAGTAGAAAAAGTTATAGATTTACGTGTAAAATTATTTTATTGAAAAAGTTTGTGATTAAAAATGAGTTTATAACAAGGACTATGTTTCCACCTACTCGAGCTTAGTTTGACCTCAATGAATCCAATTGCCATCCCTTCTTGTAACGGTTGTGATTATCAATTAAACAAGGGAAAGAAAAACTGTCAAAGAACATGGTTATAAGCCACTTTTCTCGTTAAGAGTATAATTGATTTCTTAATTTTTTTTTTTTTATTATGTCTCTAGCTACTTAATGTATTTGTTATCAATAAATACAAATCACTTTTATTTAACTCATTATTTAATATAGGGTGTATTCGAAAAAATGTAAATAAAATTTATATTTTTAACTATATTAATTACATTTTTTTAATCTGTGTGAAAATGAAAGTAAACATATAAATTAAGACATGAATACTCCCTTTGATTTACAAAAGAAATCGATCAACTTATCTATATTTGTTCTTTTTTCTCTCTTTTTTTTCTTTCCATCATCTATGGGTGGGGGCCTCGAAAATTCGTTAATGTTTAATTAATAGCCGCTCCTATGATGACGCCGCGTTATTCTAAGCAATGTTGAGTTCCCATCCCTCCTTTGATATTCCTTCCGACACCCATGCAATGCCCTCTTCTCTTTCTCCTTCTTCCCTTCAGCTTCTGCCTCACGAACAACCAAAACCCAATGTCCAACACTACTTTTCTTCTCACGGAACCTTCCTGAATTTATCGAGGAAGAGATTGAAAATCTGGCAAGAAAAATCACACAAAAAGAGGTGTGATTTGTATGGGAACTCTCTTTCTGACTCGTTTTTCAACTCTCTTTCTGGGTACTCGTAATTTTATTTGGACATGATGAAAATGAAAACAAATTCTTATTCTCGATAATGATAGCTCCCTGAATAATTTATGTGATTTCTGAACATCGTGGTCATCTAAAATGCTGGGTTTCTGCATTATTTTTTTGTTTTTTTTTTTGTACTTTGGTTTAACTATTTATGTACGGTTTTATATTGTTTCTTTCTATTTTAAATTTCTCCTTTGAAAACAGTTTGTGATGATATCTTGATCGGTCTGCATCTGAAATAAATGGGATGATTGAATAGAACGTCAAGAATAGTGTATTCATTTTGGGCAAAATCCAGGAAAGAACTTGGAATTTTGAATACCCGGTAACGTGGAGTTGGTTATCCTTGTAGAAATCTTTGAGGCCTAAATTTGTTATGACTAACTAATTATTGGAGGAAAGGAAGTTTCTGTAGGAAAAAGATCTGATTGTATGAGGCATGGTATTATAGATATTTTTGTATGCATTTCTAGTTGGTCTTGGAGAAGTGGACATGTGAAGATAAACGAAGGAAGGGGCCAACTCAATTATCTTTTGAATTTAAAGTCTGTGTGCGAGATGAGAAAATAATATGCATGAGTTTCTTGTACACATGGGTTCTCATGGAGATTGAGAAAGAAGATTGAAATGCCGGAAAATGCTCTTGCAAAAGGAAATTCATTACTGATTCAGAGCATGACATATGAACTTTCTAGTACTTCAGGCCGACAAACGAACGCTGCTTTGGCCAATGTTATGCCAAGTGATGAAAACTCTGGAAATAAATGCCCGCGTAATGTATCTGTACAGACGGGGGAAGAATTTTCACCTGAGTTTCTGAAGGATCGTCTTACACCAAGAAGAATACATCTAAGGAATGATCTCGATCAAAGTCCAACAAATAAAGCATGTTCTGACGTTGTACCGAATCACCATCTTCTGTATGAAGATCTAACAGGAGTTCTTGGAACAAAGAACACGGATTCAGGGCGTTGTACGGAGTTTGCAGATTTTTCTTCTAGTAAAGGATATGGATTAGATGTGGATAATAAGACTTATTTGGATGTTACAAGTAGATATTGCCGGGAATATAAGGCCAGTGGACAACAACAAGCAAAGTTCTCGGATGACTTTTACTCTGATAGAGGTGGCACCATTCCAACTGGTCGGACTATTCATGCATCTGACTGTCCTAATGCATTTCAGGCTTATAATCGAGCATCAGGAGTTCTGGACGGTTCCTTTACTGGAAAGATGAAATTCCTCTGCAGCTTCGGGGGAAAAATATTACCTAGACCAAATGATGGGAAACTTAGATATGTTGGCGGAGAGACGAGAATTATATCCATCAGACAGAACCTAACTTATTGTGAGCTTGTGAAAAAGACTACTGCAATTTGCAATCACCCTCATACAATCAAGTACCAGCTTCCCTGTGAAGACCTTGATGCACTTATATCTGTGTCTTCCGATGAAGATCTTCAACATATGATAGAGGAATATCATGATTTAGAAAGAAGTTCACAGAGACTAAGATTATTTCTTGATTCTTCTTTTGATTCTGAGAGCCCATGTTCATTGGAAGCAAGGACGTTACAACAAAGTGATGTTGATTATCAATATGTTGTAGCAGTTAATGGCATGCTTGATCCAAGTCATCGGAGGAGCTCTAGCAGGGAAAGTTACTTGGATAGTAGTCCAACTCTGCAAAGGGACTCCCCTACTTCACTTCCCATGTTAGAGAAATGGAATGGAAGCAATAACTTAAACAACAAGTCGATGTTTTCAAGTCCCAATACTCACCTTCCTAATGCACCTCCACTGTCTGAAGTACCAGGTCACTTTAAAGATCCGAACATTTCCTATATTAAAGTCTGTAAAGATATTATGTGTCTTAATGACTATTAGTCCACTAATGGTGGACAAACTAGCTAATGATAATTCGTACCATTTTGATGACACAGGTTATTATCATAATTATCATGTTGATACCATGCAAGTGATCAGTAGCCAGCAGCCGAATAGCCACCTGATAGAATCCAATCCAACTCGTGCAGTGCATTCTCACTTTCGTAGCCGCAGTAAAGATTTTGATTCTTCTTTTCTTTTTGATCATGGTGGTTTTGACTCCAGGAAAAAGTTACATTCTTCTCAAGATACAGTTAGTTTGTCTCCTGCCTATGATGTTCAAGCTACACCTTATCAGAGAATACCTTATTTGCCCCCTGAATCACAAATGAAGAACAAAGAGAGGTCTGTTCTCTCTTTAGAAGAAGTTACAGACACATCTTCATTGAATCTTGTTACCGAAAAATTGCCTTCCCTTGCAATTTCCAATTTGTTGCAAGGAGGGATAATGCGTCAGCAACAGATAACAGATGAAAAATATCAATTTTCTACGAATGAGGATCAGTCCTGTATGGAAGTTCCGAATATTAAGGAATATACCAAATACGGTCAAGATACAATAATGTTGTTGGAGGAAGCAGATACTTCTTCAGATCAAGGTAGGAAGAATAATGACATTAGCAATAATTATATAGCAAATGCCAATGTTGTGGAATGCAAGATAAATTTGCCAAAAATTTTGTGTCAACCAGACTCAAACCCCAGTTTTCATGCCTCAGAATCAAAACCACAACTCCATGAAGGCAATAGTTCTTCTTTACTTACCAACGCTGAGGAAAATTCTAAAAAAAACTGGAAAGAGGAAACTGGAACTTACCAAGTAAGTCCAATTGCTTGTGACTTTCTTGTCAAGAACCCAACAACAATTAACAATCAGAAGAACAGTATTCTTAACAAAATTAACAGTAAAGCTGCCTTTTACGGATCTTGTGGGACTAAAAATGTCAGGCCTGAGGGAATGGTTGACCAACTACCAGTTCAAGGATATGAATCTAGTTTGGCTGAGAACTTGATTGATCCTCTTGTTACTGACTTTTCATTGGTAAAAAATACCACAAAAGATGCTTTACGTAGAGAGGCCTCTGTTCACGAGGGAACAGTGTATGATTTCCATCGAAGAGGTGATCTTCCTGGGAGGCTCATAGATGGAACCTCTGTCCATTCTCGAACCCGAGATAATTGTCAAGGAAATGGTGAAACAGAATTGCCTCTGATTGTTGAAGATGTCACTGACAATGTGCCTCCCAATGTCCCCTCCTCCTCGACAGCTATCCCTCATGTGCAAGATGAAACAACTGATGTGAGCATATCCTATGGTGAAGAAACACAATCTGGGAGTTTTGTTCCGGAATCTGATTCTGATGTAAGATTCTTTATACATAATTGTTGCAATGTTGAAGAATAAATTTTGCTGGAATAAAGACTACTTGTGCTTGTTTATTGTAGGATGATAAAGGTGCCAAAGATGATAAAGGTGAATCCATAAGTGATGCTGCAATTATTGAAATGGAAGCTGGCATATACGGTTTGCAGGTTGACAACCAAATCTTATTTTATGTTTTATAGTCATCAAGAAAAATATCTAATATAATAGTATGTTTATATTTGACCTATATGTAGCTCCTGTGTACTGTGAATCTCTGATGTCACTTCATTTCCTCAGAAATAAATTAGATATTCATAATTTTGACTGAAGTACTTAGAAATTATGGCAGATCATAAAGAATTCTGATCTTGAAGACATGCAAGAGTTGGGATCTGGTACATTTGGAACTGTATTTCATGGAAAGTGGAGGGGAACTGATGTTGCCATCAAGAGAATAAAAAAGAGCTGTTTTGCTGGGAGATTATCTGAACAAGAAAAACTGGTTTGTCCCCATCTCGAATACAGAAAATTATAACTTTTTTATTTATTTTTGATTGATAAAATTTTCAAAGTCTGTCAAGATAGTTAAATTGCTTGCTATATTTTCCATGACAAACTACTCGACAAGAAGTAATGTTTATTTTTTACCTTTTTATATATATATAGTTCTAATTCTTCACAGACTAAAGATTTTTGGAGAGAGGCTCATATTCTTTCCAATCTTCACCATCCAAATATAGTAGCATTCTATGGGGTAGTTCCTGATGGATTGGGGGGAACATTGGCAACAGTGACTGAGTACATGGCCAATGGATCATTAAGGCATGTCCTTTTAAGGAAGGATCGGTGAGTTAGTTTGTTTCACATTTATTTTCAGCTGCACATCTGAAAGGATCTGTTCATGAAGTGATAAAGTCTATTACAGGTCTCTTGATCGCCGTAAAAAAGTTATAATTGCACTGGATGCTGCTTTTGGCATGGAGTACTTGCATTTGAAAAATATAGTTCACTTTGATTTAAAGTGTGACAACTTGCTAGTCAACTTGGGAGATCCGCAACGGCCAGTATGCAAGGTAATTTCCAGACATAGATATCCTAAGAAAGGGTTTTTAGGATTACAGATAACTGAGAGCAAGATTGCTTCATTTCTTCTAATGTACAATTTCTGGTTTTTTTTTTTTTTTGGAGCTTTAAAAATTAAATATGAAAGCTTTCCAATTCATATTGATACATGGTCGTTCAAATTTTTCATTCAGGTGGGTGATTTTGGACTTTCAAGAATCAAAAGAAATACTCTAGTTTCTGGTGGTGTACGGGGAACGCTTCCATGGATGGCTCCAGAGCTATTGAACGGAAACAGTAGTCGGGTTTCTGAAAAAGTTAGACCTCTGTTTCTTTCTTTTTGTAATTTAGATCTCTAAATCACCATATGTTTGATGTTTTGAAAAATGAAACGATGGCCATTTTTCTTCATGTTTTTTTCTTTCTCGCTAATCATAATATTTGGCAGGTTGATGTTTTCTCATTTGGCATTTCCATGTGGGAGATATGGACCGGAGAGGAGCCATATGCAGATATGCACTGTGGTGCCATCATAGGTAAGCTTTTGATTAATAGTCTTTCAATTTATTAAATGATGTTAGAGATGTGGCTAATAGCGCTGTTCATATTTTTTAACAACATTGCAAATAGTTCACATTGAATGGAGTCATATGTTTGCCAGTCTATACGACTGAAGACTAATCTCAAAATATATGTACCAAGGACCTCACTAGGAATTATATTCAATTTGAACTTGTATCATGCCGTATATGTTATTGTATATCCTTATTCATGGGATCAATACCTAATATAAGTGAGTAGAGTTACTACACAGAGATCTTTTCAGTATGCTTAACAAGCTTATATGATAGCTGAATTCCTGCCTGTTAGTAGTTATATTTTCTTTATTAAATAAAAATTCATAAAGTTGTCCATTACGTACTTTAATAGAAACCTAAAATTTCAGAAGATGGAAAGCCTGAAGCAATCTCTTTACATCTTCATACTAGGAAGATATTTTCTGGAATTTCTACTGTGCTGAAATTACTTATTCAAACTTCTGATTAATAATTAGTAAAAAAATGAATTGCAATAGAGGTATCCCCTTGAATTATAAAATTAACCACTGTTGACAATTGACATCGTATATCACATGATTTTGTGATGCATAATCTCTAAAAGGTTCTAGAGTCAAAACTCAATGTTGAGAAGCGAATTGCCAGTTAAAGACGTTACAGGGTACATAATATTTAATCTCTCTTGTAAGAGGTGATACATAATGCAACGATGAGAGACAGATGAAGAGTGAGAAAGAGAGAACTCCTGAGAAGATAATTTCACTATCATATCTATTCTATACATAATTTTAAAATCCTACTCTTTCCTATATATGTGTTAAATTCATTAAAGATTGGGAAGTCACAAAAGAAATAAAAATGTGTATGTGCCAATTCCATCACATGGTTTGTCATTTCTCCCCTTCTGAGAAGAACTCAACTAGACTGGTAACCTAGAAGAATCTGTTCAAGGAGGACTACATTTTCTTTAAAACCAAGTACTGACACTAACCACACTAACTGACAAAACATCATTCAGATCTTCTAAGACGTCATTAACGACATCATACTTACCTGCAGAGCAGAAGGAACATGTGGAATCGACTGTGACTCTGTTAATAGAGAAGGGTGGTGTGGGTAAGTGACTTGCTCATGAGCCCATATGAGTCTATGACCAATGTTTAAAAAGGCTAAATTAGGTACCATGACGTGTTATCTCTGTGAAGCGAGGCATTTTGAGGTTAAGCCTCAACACAATTAGAAAAACAAAAATAAAAAAGAAAGGAATTAACACAGACATAGTGTCTGTCATGAAGATTGGTATGCTCATAATAACTCGTAAATCATCTTATAAAATTCTGTAATAAAAAAATTAAAAAGGTTAAAAATCTTAACTTGAAAACGAGAGCATAAATAACTCAATAAAGTAGTAAATAATGAGTTCTTAAATGGTAAACATGTAAAAAAAATTGTTATATACGACCAGAAGTAGAAACAACTCAAAAGTCATCTATATAATCTCTACTAATAGGATTTTGCTGGAACCGTCAACATATTTGATTCCCCTATTATCGCCCTCATCTATAAATTTCCTCCCATTCTTTGTTATCATTCTATACTTACAGTGGTATCTTCACCTCCCTTTTCCCTTCCGTGTAAAGGCAGAAAATAAGGAATGAAAGTATCAATAAAACATTCTGTGTTAGATAAAGAGTAGCTCAAAAAGCTAAGCTCAGTAATAAATGCCCACAAAACGCAATATCACATGTATCCGACACGGTAGTTTCCGAAGAGTGTCGGTATTCAACACGTGTCCAATACTTGTCGGACACGGATACGCTACACAGAGCTTGGCTGCAATGAGGTTTAGCCTTGAGGCATAAGCCTCACATGACATTTAAGTCTTAAGCTTTGGGACTTTTAATAGAGTCTCACATGAAGCGGGACTTAATGTGTAAGCTTTAAAAAGGTTCTTTTAAACAGTCATATGACCACTAGAGTTTGCTGAGTGTCTATCGTGTTGGTTTATAGTAGAATCATTTGTTTTATTTCCTTCATGATGCTAGTCGCAATCTCTCAACAAATGGTGTAGGATCTCATTATGAGTAAGATGACATGACAACTTCAGGTTTTCGATCCTGCTGGTGAGGGTTTCAACTTTTGCCTAATGGTTTAGGTAGTATTGATCAAGTTCAATGAATATAGTGTTGAAACAATGTGAATTACTTTAAATATTTCAAGATATCAATTACTTGTATGAGAATAGGAATAAAAAGACTCAAGACAATCATAATATGTTACCACACTGTTCCATAATTTTTATATTTATTTTTTGACAAACAATACCTTCTGCAAAGCAATTATGTCAGTTGAACAATTAGGCTCTGAAACCATTTAATGCAGAACAGGGGAGAGGGAGAGAGATAACTATAGAGATGGGATGGAACATGAACGAACACTATAAAACCAACAAGTTTTAAAGGAAGATTATTGATGAGTCATGTGTTTGTAAAAGATTTTTTAAGAGTTTGTAAAGGAGTCTCATAGTTCAAAACTCTAGTAGGCATTCTATTAATCAGTTAACAACTCGTTAAGATTGCACCTCCCCAAAGATATTTAGGAACATTCATATGAAACATAAGAGCCCTAGCTACTTCAAGTACGTGCCTATTTTTACGTTCTACAGTTCGATTTTGTTGAGGAGTATCCCTAGATGAACAATGCCTCTTTCTTGTAAAAAAATGTCCGAAAAATTCATTAAAAAATTATGTTCTATTATCACTTCGAAGAATACTTATTTTAGTTTGAAATTGGTTTTCTACCAACAAGTAAAAATCTTTAAAAATTTTTGTAACTTCATTTTTTGAATTCATTAGGTAAAGCTAGCGTAGGCGTGTATGATCATCAATGAATGTCACAAACCATTTTTTTTCCGGTTGAAGTAGTAATCTTAATAGGACCCCAAACATCACTATGTATTAGATAAAAAGTTTTTGAAGCACAATATGGTTTATTTTATAAAAGTTTCGAAGGCTTTTAGCCAAGAAACAAGTTTCACAAACCAAAGAGTTACAATCCATTCCTTTAACTAAATCTAGAAATAAGTACTTTAAATAGGAAAAACTAGGACGTCCTAGTCTATTATGCCATAGTATTATTTGATCACAAACAGGATTTGAACGGACTCTACAAATAAACTCTGAGCTTGTTTATTCCTAGCGTGGTTGTCATTAAAATAGTAGAGGTCTTCTATCATCCTAGAACTGCCAATCATCATCCCCGTATTCAAATCCTGGAATTCACAGTAAGAGTCATCAAAGACAGTTAGAATCTTTAGATAAACGACTTACTGACAAAAGGTTACAAGAGAGTTTTGGGACATGTAAAACAGATTTCAGAATTATTTTATCTGATAAACGGATTGAACCTTGGCCAGCAATGGGAGATAAGTTTCCATCTGCAATATGTACTTTTTTATTTCTAGAAAGGGGTTCATAAGATATAAACAAATGAGACAGATTAGTCATGTGATGAGAGGCACCCGAATCTATGATCCAAGATGTAGATAATGAAGAGGAATAGGCACACAAAGTTCTACCTGTTTGAACCAAGGATGCTACAGGAGTACCGGGAGTCGGCGGAGCAGATTTCAGAAGCTTTAGGAGTTGCTGTATTTGTTCTTCACTCAAAGAGGTGGTCTCAGCAGTATATGCTTTGGCTGGGGCATGGTTCGGATCAGTTTTATTATTCTTCCATTCTATAGGTTCCCAATCAGCAGGTTTACCATGCAGTTTCCAGCAAGTTTCGCGAGTATGTCGTGATTTATTGCAAAAATCACACCAGTCCTTTGGTTTGTCATCTTGGCGGCGCTGGGTATTAGTGGCACGATAGGCAGCAATCCCTATTAATGCTGAATTTTCCATCAATCCAGCAGTGATTTTATTGCCAAGCATGACATTTCAACATTGAGTCCAGCCAGAAATTTGAAAATTCGTGAGTTCACCTCTTAAAGTAATTGCAATCATCATCGTTCTTCCACTTATGGTCATCATTGAATAAGTCAAGGTCCTTCCATAAACCTTTGAGGATATTAAAATATTTAGTGACAGAATTCTCACCTGACGGACTTCCCCCAGTTTGAGTTGTAACTCATATGTTTGGGACTGATTCCCAAGGTCTAAATACATCAAAGTGACATTATCCCAAAGGGTTTTAGCAGTAGGATAACACCTGTAGTTTGCACTTATTTCCTCTTCCATAGAATTCACTAACCAGGCCATTATCATGGAGTTTCAACATCCCAAACAGCATGACCAGCATCAGTTTTTTCTTCTGGCTCTACAATGTCACCAGTGAAGTAACCAATTTTCCCTCTTCCTCTAATATACATTCGAACGGACTGGGACCACCTGAGAAAATTGTTCCCATTGAGTCGAATTGTGGTGATTTGGACGGAATGAGAGAGTGGTTCAGTTGGAGGTTTAGAGGAGTTGATATTGGCACCAGTGGTAGGGTTGATTTAGAGATTTCTGACACGGTGATGGGTAGGGAGAACAAAAAAAAGAGAAGGACGGAGGCCAATTATGTCGGCTCTGCTACCATATAGATTGGGTAGAAAAGAATATTGTATTGAATGAATGGGAAAGTAGTCATACTCACCCTTTTATAGATACAATACAGTGTATAAAATTGGAAATAAAGCTACAACTATGAAACTTGAATATACAGCAATACAATCCTGATTTTTAGGAAATAAATAGGATCCCTATAATTACGAAATATGTCAAGTTTTCCTAAGAATCAGGAAACTGATTTGCCCTGAATTGGCGTGATTTTCAACAAATATCACTTAATATCAACTTAGAGGATCTTTGACCGACTTCCTTTGAAAGCTTGTAGTCAGAGGAAGCACTTTTAGAAAATTATCCAAACAAATTTAAAACGACTTCTTAGTTCCAAAAGAAGCTTTTGACTTTTCAAAAGCCTTGCCAAATGGACTCTTAGTTGTCTACGTAATTGAAACTTCTACCCCTATTTATACCTAGAATTTCAATCAAAATCGAAAAGTTACAAAAATGGCAAAAATTAAAAAAATTCTAACTTAAACCCAATAATTATATATAAAAATAAATCTTTATGTTTCTTAATTTTACTTCCTAAAATAAGTATATTCTTTTGGTTCATTTCCAATGTGAATTATATTCCATTCTCCATCAAAAAGTGTGCATTTTTATGAGGGTTTGTCTAGGGATGGCAAAATGGCTTGCCGGCTTGAGGCTCGGAACCGCCGAGGCTCGCTAGCCGAGGCTCTAGTCGAGCCCCATTTTGGGGCAAAGGCTCGAGCCCGAGCCAAGCCAGTTTAAAAAAAAAATTGAAAAACAGCAATTGTAGCATGTAGGAAGAAAAAAATAAAATAAATAAAATTCAAACAAGCTTGCACGTTGCAGGCAAAATAGCTGCCTGCATGCAGCTACGAAAGAAGAAAAAATAATAAAAAAAATTGAGGTGGCTTGGCCCGCTAAGGCTCGGGTCGAGCCTCAATTTTTTTGGCCTAGCTTTTGCTTGGCTTAGCTCGGGCCAAAAAAGCTCGAACATTTTTTGCTCGAGCTGAGCTTCGAGTTTCGGCTTGGCTCGGTTCGACTCGTTGACATGGCTAGGTCTGTCTGTACACATATATTGAGAGTGAAAGATTGTCCACATGTTTGTATTTTTGAAGCGTGGTGCAAAACGATTCTTTACTGGTCTGAACATTAACAACAATTTAAACTGTACAAAGGATTCAGCTCCGATGTAACCAAAATATCTTCATTGACATTTAGATGAATAATTAGCAGCATGCTTCTGTTGTTTTACCTTGTAAGCTAGGCATGTTCCAAAATCAGTTTAGTTAAATTAGAAGGGTGCATATGGCTATACAAGCTCATAATTTCCAGGTTACATGATCAGTTTTGTAATCCTTGCTATCTCATAGAAAGGCATGCACGCGCATACACACATCTACATGCAATAACAAGCTCATTGTATTATGCATTCAAAGAGGCAGTATAATTAGGTATCCTTGTGACCTGCATTTTGTAAATCACGATTACCATCTATTTCCTTTCCTCGATTTTCCACCGCACAACTTTGATATACTCATCAAAAATTGACAATTTTATTGTGTGCTTTGTGTGAAGGTGGGATTGTAAATAACACATTAAGGCCACCTATCCCAGGATCTTGTGATTCAGAGTGGAGAAAGTTGATGGAAGAGTGCTGGTCACACGATCCAGCAGCAAGGCCATCGTTCACAGAGATCACAAACAGGCTGCGAAATATGTCTGTGGCACTCCCATCAAAGAGATACAATAGAGTAAAAAGATGAGATTCTACACATCTATGCAAGTCAAAAGAACAAATTTCCAAGTGCAGAAGATAAAGAAAAAACAAATATTATATGTCCTGCCCTTTGTTCTGATATAAATATTGCTCAATTCGTGTAAATTATCTGTGGATAGAAATCATTTTTCCTAAGTCTCAAAATTACATTTATTCATTTATTTCCCTTTACCAGGATGTGAAATGAGATAGATATCATAGCATAATCTTTTTGTTTAAAAGCTGTATTTTAAATTGACAAGTGAATGTTGGCAAGAGAACCCATCAATTATTAGATGCTTAATGGTCTGATTATGTCTACTACAGATTTGTTTGTGAGTAGATGTTGATAGAAGACGAGGTTTAGTTTGATGTGTGTTATTGATCCCGATCACATTAGGTGCTGCAAGCACGAGGAAAAGGCGAGGTAATTTAGTCTGGAGGATGCATAGGCTTAAGCTTAAATTTTGAGTATAAATCTAGCTTAGCCCCCAAATGCTTTAATTCTTAATGTACTATTTAGAAAAGTGGAGTTGTTCGATCTCCTGCTCGCAGTGACCAGAATAACAATTGCCCACCATTGACTTGGCAACGCTATGCCAGCAATCAAGCCATATTTTTTTTAAAGATGGGCATTATAACTTCTTTCCACTGTAAGCAGGGGATCGTTTCTGTTTAGAAAGGTAGGTGTTGGTTCTTGTCATCTCGTTTCTCGGAGGGGAAATAAAGTGGTACATTTTCTAGCTTCCTAGCTACAATTTCTCTACTTCAAAGTGATTAAGTTGATTGTATTTCCTTTATTTTTTCTAGTTCGATATGTGATGTTAATTAGTAATATTCATTGATGAAGAAAAAAAGGGAGAGAGATAGAGAGAGTTTATGTTTCTCCAAGATATGAGTACTTAACTAGATTTGAAGCGTGTATTAGGAGGAGGAGGGGGGTGGGGGGGGGGGGGGGCATTAGGATAACAAGAAGTAAATAGTTAACATGGAGAAGATGTAAACATACAACCATAACAAATTAAACGTAATATGGAGTTGGCTATAGAAATTCATTTGATTGGGAGCTACCTATTCTAAACGGTCCACAAGCTTATTCTAGTAATAAATTCTGTAATTTTATCTCTCTTATTTTTATTTTGGCTTTTTAGACGTAAAGTGACATGTATCACACCCTATATCTTACAAAAGTACTACAAAATCAGAAAACTATAGTACATTTGAGGCATTCTTGTCATTACATTTCATGAAAACTATAGTACATTTGAGGCATTCTTGTCATTATATTTCATGTCTTGAGCAAAGAGGCTTCGAAGCCGAGTCATTATCTTCATTACCTATAGATTATGAGATAAATTGGACGTTTAAACCTTCCTACTGAAGCAAAAAAATAATAATAATAATAATAATATGTCAATTTTAAAAAAAAAAAAAAAATTGGCAACTACCTTTCTTCCCAATATTAAGTAAGTCATATTGATATATATATATATAAATAATTTAGATAAATACAGAGTCATGGCTCATAACTTGACTTGGCAATAAGAAATTTCGAGCTGAAGACCTTGCTTGAGCATTTGGAGGTCTTTTTGTGCTGGTCTCGGATAAACGATGACTTACAATTTGCATCAACAATACGTTTTGATCAATATGCCCTTTGAATGGTTATAAAAGATCTTTTCCAACGTAGATGTTAGAATTTGGGTGTGACCCGAATTCCTTGTTGAAGTAATTGAAATGCACGTCATGAAGAATTCAAATTTGGAATATTATTGGAGTCATAAATTATGTTGAAGGTCTATTTTGGAAACCCATTAGGAGTTGGAATTTGTTTTAAACTCAATTTTATAGTATCCCACTTTATCAACAACTCTACTAGGTGTATTTGGACATCCCCTACTTATTCCCTATAAATACTGGTTCTTCTATACAATTTTTAATGTGAGAAAATAGATTATTAGAATTATAGGATTCATTGTAATTTTCTCTCTTCTCCATTATTCATGAATCAATAAAATCTCTTAATTCCTCTGACATATTCTTGTCTTCTTATTCTTTTACTTGATCAAATACTTCATTATTATTTGTCATATAACTTGAACATCTCAATCTGGTGGTTTATTTCACAGCAATTGGTATCAGAGCTATCCTGATATCTTGTTTGTTTTGCAACAATTTGTATCAGAGCACCAGGTTCAGCAGTTTCACAAGAGCGTAATCTTTGATTTGTTCGAAGTTTTTTATTTGTGATGGCCTTCCATGAAGTATGATATTCCGCTTTTGTATCGGAGCACTATATTTTCGCTATAACAGGTTAAGATACGTGCAATACTCGCACAATTAGATTTGGATGATGCGTTGCTAGGGATTGACAAGATGCCCGCAACTTTGACCGTGGAAGAGAAATTATAGAAGGATAAGAAGACAGTTTCTCACATTCATCTTCATCTATAAAATACTATTTTTCAGAACGTTTTGAAAGAGAATTCAGCAACTGCTTTATGGTTGAGGTTGGAGCAATGCATGACTAAAAGTCTGACAAGTAAGTTGAACCTCAAGCAGCGTTTATACTCTCATCGAATGGCAAAATGATGAATATTGAAAGATCGCCTGACTATATTTAAGGAGATCGTCGCTGATTTGGAAACTTTGGAAGTAAAGTATGATGAAGAAGATTTGGCCTTGATCCTATTGTGTTCGTTGCCGCTTCGTTTTCTTCATTTAGTGACACGATTTTGTATAGTCGTGATACTCTCACCATAGAGGAAGTGTATGATGCTTTGTATTTAAAAGAGAAGATGAAGCATCTGGTTTCTAAGGTCAGAGATGGAGAAGACCTGGTTGCTCGTGGTAGTTTTGAAAAAGGCAGATCGAAATCTAAATTCGGTAATTAAATTTGTAACTACTGCAAGAAGAATGTGCACTTAAAGAATGATTGCTACAAATTGCAGAATAAAGAAATGATGGCTGCAAGTAGATATTCAGATATTTCAGGTGAAGCAGCCCTCGTAAAGAACGTTGTAAGTGGTGGGGAACTCTTAGCTATTTCTGACATTGAGTCTGAACTGGAAGATGATTGGATTCTTGATTTAGCATGCGTGTTTGATATGTGTCCTAATAAGGACTTGTTTGCTACATATGAAGCTGTTTCCAAAGGTGTCGTGGTTATGGGAAACTGTTTCCAAAACTGTTTCTTAGCTTGCTGGAATTGGTATAGTCAGATTGAAGCTTTTGGATGGGACAATTGGCACACTTGGCCAGGTTCGACATGTTTCAGATTTGAAGAAAAATCTCATCTCATTGTCTATCCTTGATTCAAAAGGTTATGAGCTCTTTGGTGAAGGTGGAGTTTTGAAGGTTCGTAAAGGTGCCCAAGTTGTATTGTAGGGACAGAAAATGTCTCGGTTATACATTTTGTAGGGTCGTGCAGAATTTAGAAGATTCAATCAGCACAAGTTCAGGATCATGGTGGACATTCAGTTTGATACAATACCTATAGGAGCTCATAAAGAGTTGGATTTGAATAATACAGTTCAGTGGAGTTCAGGAGATATGGATAATGTCGCTTNTTGGTTGGAAAAAATAAAATTTTTTTGGTTATTATTGAAGGAGTCAGTTCATTCCTTGGTGGAATTCATGTCAAGGTGGAGATTGTTAGAATTTGGGTGCGACCCGAATTCCTTATTCAAGTAATTGAAGAATTTTAATTAAAGTGCACGTCATGAAAAATTCAAATTTGGCATATTATTGGAGTCCTATGTCATGTTGAAATTCTATTTTGGAAGCTCATTGGAAATTGGAATTTGTTTTAAACTCAATTTTATGGTATCCTACGTCATCAACAATTCGGTGAGTTTGGACATCCCCTACTTATTTCCTATAAATATAAGGTTTTTTTAATACAATTTTATAAAATGAAAAAATAGATTACTAGAATTATAGGATCCATTGTAATTTTCTCTCTTCTCCATTATTTTTAAGTCAATAAAATCTCTTAATTCAGCTGTTATATTATTGTCTTCTTTATTCCTTTACTTAATCAAATACTTCATTATTATTTGCTATATAACTTAAACATTATCCGATGGTTTGTTTGACAATAATTAGTATTAGAGGTATTCTAGTTTCTTATTTGTTTTACAACAGTAGAGGTTGTTGAGTTGTAGTTGAATGGTTATAAAAGGTCTTTTCCAACGAAGAAGAGGTTATTGAGCTAGAGTTGAGTGAGGGGTTGGGTAGGTTGTTGTGGGAATGAAGGAATTTTTTAAATTGTTTAATTGGGACTTTCTTTATACTTTTTGAGAAAATTGGGATTATAGCTCAATGTGTGTGTGTTTCTTCTTTTCTTTTTATTTATTTAAAGAGGATGGTAAATTCGTAATTTTACAAAGTTTTATGGAGAAAAATGACGAATATATTGTCTTCAGTAAGGCTTGAATAATTTAGAGGGTTTGTGCTAAAATAAAAGGATCAAAGTATTGCACAACAAGTGTAGACGTTAGGGGGTATTGTCCCAATTACCTTAAATTAATTGAATTAATTGTTACGAATTAAAAAATAAGAAAATAAAGGGAACATTGTTCATTCGGTGTAATGGGTTGGAAATGATTAAATAACATGGTGTGACAGTTGCACCATTTTGACGTGGAAGTTGCACTATTTTGACAAATAGATTAAAGATGGTCTTACTTTAGACATTTCTTTAGGTAGCCCAACACATCTTCATTTCTAGTGGCGGTTTTGCTCCATATTTTGGATGAATCATTGAAAACCAGTTGGAAGGTTGTTTCAAGTTGCCAAAATATCTTCAATTTCCATCGACCATTTTCATGATCGATCTCGTTGTTGGAAAATTCCTTTTCCAAAGAATTTTTTACGATCAAGCGGCTTTTAGTGTAGTTATTTCATGGCTAACATATTTGTTGATCTCAAAATCTGTCCGATCAAATGGTCAATAGAATCTCGACCGTCTCCCTTTCATTTAAGCATTATCTAAATACTGGAACA